TTTCCCACAATGATATGAGTTGAGATGACGTTTCCATTGAATTTTACATAGCCTTGCTTTCCCAAAAGTTTTTATTATCCACGGTGGACTGCAGTTTCGACCTCGCATCGGTCTTATCAATACCTTCAGCGGGAGTCAAACCGCGAATTTGAATTTTCACGGATGAGAACAACTTTTGGGAAAGCAAGGTTATGTGAAATTCAATGGAAATGTCAGCTCAACTCATATCATTGTGGGAAAATTCTTCATCACCTTAAACGAAATTGGGTGAATACATCTCATATTACTGATGTACTGGTAGTCACGAAAACATTACTTAATCATAAAAATAAAGTATATTAGTCGATTGTTATAGCAGATATACGTTTGTTTCATCAAAAATTCCACCAAAAGAATATGATATGGCAAAAATGCCTGGCATTCCTTGAAAATTCACATTTGCCATGTGACCCAAAAGGCGCTCGTGGCAGTGTACCCGAGTGGTTAGCGTGTCGAGCTACAATCCTGCACTGTTGCGGTTCGACTCCCACTGAGGGTGTTGACAAGACCGATGCGAGATCGAAACTGCAATCCACTGGTGCCTTGATGAGAACAACTGTTGGGAAAGCTAGGCTTTGTGAAATTCAATGAAAACTTCAGCTTAACTCATAGAATTGTGGGAAAATTCTTCTTTTACTAGTCCTTCATCACCTTAAACGAAATTGGGTGAATACATTTCATATTACAGATTTACTAGTAGTCACGAAAACAATACTTAATTCGAAAAATAATTATATAATACTGGTCCTGCTACTTTTGCTCGAGTATGTGAGTGTGTGGATGTATGTGTGTGTTAGCGTCTATACGCAATACAGGTCCTAAATCAGAGTAATCAAAAGGCTAATGCAGGGCTCTGATCATCAAGGCCTAATGACCTAAGAGAAATCCCTGACCGAGACTGCGTGAGTCCGTATGCAAGAATGGATGAGCTAATGAGATATAAGATTGTGAACATGTAAGTCAAGTTACGAAACCACTTGTCCTAACCTCGCTTTCTAGGATCATTAATGTTTAACTCCTCAAGGAAAGGCATGACGGGCTGCGTAATCTAGCACGTCTGGTTTGGTTGATGAGTTTAATCTAATATGTTGGACGAGTTTGAGTGAAGTTAGAACCATCACTGAGCGGGCAAGTTAAATTGCCTTCTTTTGGATGGCGGCTCAACATCCTCTCTCTCTTTCAATTTATTAATCAAGCATAAGTAGTTCCTATTCAACTTTCTACCACCGTTCTACACATTCAATGTATCTCCTAAGCTATTAATTTCAATAGTCTCTCTTATCTTTTTTTCAACCACAGACGTACCATAATAGGCAAACCTTCTAGTTTTAGAATATTCTATTTCATGTCCAGTTTCTACCATGTGTGTCGCCACTTTTGACCGTTGGACCCAACTTCACTTACAAGCATTTTTATGTTCCCCCATCTTTGTCGAATAGGCCGGCATGACTTACCAACATAAGCTCGGCCACATGAGCAAAGAATCTTGTAGCAGCTGGGTCTCGATATTGGGTCATATTTCTCTTTAACTCATGGTATAGCAGGAGGTTTGATGGTTTTTTTAAACACTGCTTTTATTCCACATTTCCTTACTAATTCGCCTATCTTTTTTGACAGAAGGCATGATGGCAAAATTAGGACATGCGGAAAGGTCTCAGCTTGTCTATCTTTCAATAAATGGTCTCCGTCTGAAAATTTATTCCTTAGTAGAGAGATATTATTCTTAATAATGCCCAAACGATAATTATTTTCCCGAAATAAATTTGTCACTCGTTCCAACTCTTTAGTCAAAGGATTGCTATCTGTTAGCCTCTTACTCATGATAATCATTGACTTCAATATTCCAACTTTAGTTTTATAACTATGGTTTAGAAGAAAATCAAGCAGAGCCAACATATGTTGGCTTCCTATAAGCATCTCTTCCTAACTCACCCTCTTCTCTAATATTGAAGTGTAAGGACTTATTCTCTTCCATTTCCATTGTGAACCTAATGTTCCTCTCACGTTGGTTAAGTGAAAGTAGGAAACTATCTAAACTTCCCTTACCATGAGGCCAGATAACAAAATAGTTATCCATATATCTAATCAACAATTTGGGGGTTGGTATTGCCTCTACCAGGAAATGTTCGTCCAGTCTTGCCACATAATTGTTCGTCAAGATGGGACCCAGGCAAGATCCCATCGCCAGTCCTTGTGTTTTTTCGTATAACTTACCGTCAAAGGTAAAATAGGTGCTATACATCGATAGGTTAAAAAGTGTAATTATGTACGATATACTCAATCTTACTCCTTGTCTTATCTCTGGATGCTCCTTCAGAGTTTGTATCACAGTTTGAATAGCTCCTTGAACAGGCATGTTTAAGTACATAGACAATATCAAAACTGATTTGCCTACCTTCTTTCAAAGTTATTTGCGGATAAATTAATTTTACAAACTCTTAAGAATTGTTAACTGAATATGGCTAAATTTGGCAGTTTTCATTAGTTGCATGCATTAAAAACTTGAGATTTTATGCATCATGCTTCATTTATTACTTATAATTAATCTTAGAGGGACACCGTAAGCCATGGGGGTCCTTGCATCTCTCTGGAGTAGTGAATTCGTTTTCCACTTCTCAATTTCGCCATTACTTACGCATACATTAAGGGCATCCTTTAGCCTAATTTTAAGTCTTTCTGTTAGGTCTCTCAGTAAAGGTGTATACGTGTCATTGTCATTTAAATAAACTAGCATTTTTTCTACATAACTTGATCTATCCATGTCTACCACTGATCCATCTTTGTCGACTTTCATAGATATCTAGAAATCCTACTAAGAGGACAAGATTTTGTTGGCGGAATTATATGGTCAAAATGAGGTATCACCTCCATTTCAATACTATTCACTACCTCCTCGGGCAATCTATCAGATAAGCTAATTAACTCAACAAATATGATCAGAGAATAGTTTACCTCATTTGGAAGAGCAAAATTCAATCTTCTTCCGAATAAAAGTTCCTCACTATCATCTAGATTTATACTGGATAAATTTATTACTTTATCCTTCCCAAGTTTGCTACACACATTATTATTATGACTCAATTTGAGTGCATAATTTCTCGGTCTTATTCTAATTCCTAAGTTCCCGAGCTTTTTTCATGTATCTACCGGCCAATTCTATCAATGGCCTCCCCTAACGACAATTAGGCCCCGAGTACCCATCATATCAGAATTCGTCCCCAATCTCACCTGCTTTAGAACAGCATAATAAAATATTCATGAAAGACTATGTAACATATCACTCCTGTTTCGCCTTGAGAAAGTTTTTCGAAATTAAAAACATTGCTTTAGTTTTACTGTTAATATCTACTAGTAAGCTTTATGGCATTTAATAAATGTTTTTTTTCATTCTTCATCTGTAACGATACTTAGCGCAAGTGTATATCAAAATTTTCGAAAGCTATTTCAGTTTTTCGATTAGTTTGTTTCATTTCAATCTCCTTTCAGGTAGGAGAAGGTGAAAAAATGGTGCGCGCTCTGTTTGCTGTCGCCAGAATTCATCAACCAGCAGTAATTTTCATCGATGAAATTGACTCTCTTTTGACTCAGCGCTCTGAAACGGAACACGAGTCGAGCAGACGAATAAAGACAGAATTCTTAGTTCAATTGGTGCGCTTCTATACTTTTGATCACATATTTTAATTTTCGATAATACTATATATTTTATTAAAGGCATCTACTTATTACTGTCACAAATGCATATTTATTTTTATAGAGTTTTATTTCGCCGACATGAACTAGTTCACTTTCGCTTTCCTTCTTTGTTAGAATTCTGTTGATATTTTCTTCTATTGTGCTGTTTCAGCACTTTGACCACCTTATGTTATAATTTGCATTTTTAAATCAAAATATTTATAAATAAGTCTCGTCTCACGGGGGGTTAGCTTAGAATAATTTTTATCGACAGACGTTCACATTTCCACAAAATATGTATTTAGTATTCCCAAGAGGACGTGGACTGCCTCTAAAATATAAAACGCTTGAACTCGATAACTCTAAAGTTGGAGGCTCAGGAATGAAGAGAGAAAA